GAACATGCGCCTTCATTTTCTCCCCATTCAGTGAGTTCATTCCCAGAATCTTTTCCTGCTGCTGTTTGTTATTGGCATGTATCAATACCCGCTTATTGTTCATGAATTTAGCAAATTTAATTTTTCCAATCTCTTTTTCAATTGCTTTGGTAAGTTTAATCGGGTGGTAATGCCCACCATCCTGATTGAATTCTATTACCACTTTCCACTCGTGTTCTATTTCTTTATTCAACATTGCTTGACTGTCATTTTGACTGACTCTTGATTTTTTGTTTTGCTTAGCCTCGTCTGCTTCACCCGACCAATCCGACCAACTTCGAGCTCTTACTGAACTATCTCTGTCTCTCAAAGATCTTTTCTTCTTCGCAGCTTTGGCTATCATCCATTCCATATTGTTTCTTTGGCTACCATCTGAGCTGGTTGACATGATGAAACACTCAATGTACAGTTTATGCAAATCCGCCAAAATAACAGTCCAATGCTACCGTTTCTGTATGTATCCGAATTCTCTGTGAACTTTCTGCCACGCGTCTCCAACTTCACTTCCTTCTTCCGCCTTCCGACTGGCTCCGGCCGCAACTGGAAACTGTCAAGCATGGCCACGGATTCACCTCCCTCCATCATGTTGATTTGAATCAGAAGTTCTGAACATGAGCCCGCCCCGCTCGACCTTCTGAGCCAATCACAGCGCGATAATGACCTGCCTTCCGTTTCAACCATACTCCTTCCGTTTCCACTATACTTTCTCTCACACATACATGTATTCTTCTCTTGCATACATATATTGCCTTCATACATACATGCATTCTTCTCTTGCATACATATATTGTCTTCATACATACATACATTCTTCTCTTGCATACATATATTGTCTTCATACATACATACATTCTTCTCTTGCATACATATATTGTCTTCATACATACATACATTCTTCTCTTGCATAAATATATTGTCTTCACACATGCATACATACATTCTTCTCTTGCATACATATATTGTCTTCATACATGCATATATTATTTATAATATTAAATGTAAACTTTGAATGAATGTGCATGAGAGCAAAATGTATAAATATGAGCATTAAAATATATGAATATGAGAACAAAATGTAAAAATGTGTGAGTGAAAAACTTATAAATGTGTGAGTGACAATGTATGAATGTGTGCATTGAAATATGATAATATGAGAGCAGAATGTATGAATGTGTGAGTGTAAATATATACGTGTGTGAGAGTGAAAATGTATGTATGTAAAAGGAGAATGTACGTGCGTGAGAGGACCAGTATGAATTACGGCCTGTACGGCCCCTCATATTTTTGTTTGGCTCACACACTCACACACTCACTCACTCACTCACTCACTCACTCACTCACTCACTCTCACACTCACACTCACACTCACACTCACACTCACACTCACACTCACACTCACACTCACTCACAGACACACACACACACACACACACACACACACCACACACACACACTCACAATCACACACACACACACACACACACACACACACACACTGAAGGCCACATGGTGCTGTCTGGATCAAGCGTCCTCATTCTCTCTCCTCGTTGCTGTTTCAGTAGAAAATAAAAAACCCAGTGAAAACTTTTCACCACCTCTCTCTGTAAGGAAGTGGCAGATTTTCTCTGGTTGTGTATTTTCAAATTCTAGCGATCTCGAGCCGGTTTCTCAAACGTACCTACCCTACCTTTAAATGAATTGTTGTAACTAATTAACTGATAAGATACAAGTAGAGTTTAAAATATTGCTAGAGATATAATTTCACATACTTTTATCAGAAATAATTTATTAATTCATTTAATTCTGGTCTTAATTCAAAATCTTAACAGAGGACACATTTAAAACTTAGTTATAGTGAATTATCAAAGACATTATATTTCTATTAGTGTTTTATTCTCATATGTGAACATATAAGAAGGGCGGGGTCCATGACAGGTGCTCATGCTATTCTGACTACCACACTGACCCAGTGTTGTAATATTACAAAGACATAAGCTGCTCAAAATCACATTTGATGAATGTATTCCACAAAAACTGAATATGTACATGTTCTAGATATTGAAATAATCACATAAAAAATACTTGAGGCATTTTACTTACTTGAGTCTGACAAATCCAGTCCAATAAAACAAAGAGATGTTGCTCGTTTGAAGGTTCTGAAGTTGTGTGAGTGTATGGCCAGAGGGCAGGACCTATAAACACATTTACTACCCAATAGCATTGTGAGGCTGAACAAAAGGATCTTTTGACTATGTAAATGTAGTCTTTAAAAAACAAACCATTTACTGACTTTTTTAGGATAGCTTAAAGTAATGTTGTAAAATTACAACAGTGGGCCTTACAGGGTTTTAAGCAGCCTGGCGGCCCAGGGGTAGAAACTGTTTTTGAGTCTGTCTGTCCGTGACTTGAAGCTCCTGTATCTCCTCCCAGAAGGCAGGAGAGAGAACAGTCTGTGACCTGGGTGAGAGCTGTCCTTTATTATTTTGTAAGCTCTGCTGCGGCAGCTGGAGGTGGAGATGAGTTCCAGAGAGGGCAGGGGGCAGCCGACGGTTGTCTCTGCCATCCTGATCACTCTCTGCAGGGCTTTCTTGTCCGCAGCTGAGCATCCTGCATACCACCCCGAGATGGAGTATGACAGCACGCTCTCGATGGTCGCCCGGTAGAAGGACACCAGCAGCTTCTTGTTCAGACGGTTCCTCCGAAGCACCCTCAGGAAGTGTAGTCGCTGCTGGGCCTTCTTAACTGCTGCAGTGGTGTGTGCTGTCCAGCTGAGGCTCTCCCAAATGTGAACCCCCAGGAACTTAAAGGTGGAGACCCTCTCCACTCTCTCTCCATTGAGGTGAAGGGGGGCGGGTTCTGGACGGTGCTTTCTGAAGTCTATGATGATTTCTTTAGTTTTGCTTGTGTTCAGATGTAGGTTGTTAGCTGAACACCACCACACCAGTGCTGAGGGTGCGGGTGGAGGAGCAATGAGGGCCTATTTTCACTGTCTGAGGACGGTCTGTGAGGAAATGATTTACCCAGGCTCATATGATGGAGGGGAAACCTAGGCTTGACAGTTTTTCCACCGGGCAACGAAGTTGTTTAGTTCCTCTGCAAGGTGGGCGTCAGCTCTAGTAGTGCCAGATGTTTTGCCCTTATAGTTGGTTAGCTGGTGAAGGCCCTGCCAAACGCACCGTGCGTTGTTATGAGCGAGATTCTCCTCCACTTTTCCCTTGTACTCCTCCTTCGCATCCTTGATGCCTCTCCTCAGGTTCGCCCTTGCCATGCTGTACTGGGCTGCGTCCCCCGACCTGAAGGCTGTGTCACGGGAACTCAGGAGAGACCGCACCGCTCTTGTCATCCATGGTTTTTGGTTTGGGTAGACCCGAATGCGTTTTTCCACAGTTACAGTGCCTGTGCAGAACTTGATGTAAGATAAGACAGCCTCTGTGTGTTCCTCCAAGTCTGTCTGTTCAAATATGTCCCACGCTGTGTGTTCGAAGCAGTCTTGCAGTTGTGAGAGTGCCCCCTCGGGCCAGGTTCTGATATATTTGACCACCAGCTTGGTGTTACTTCTGAGGGGGGTGTAAGCTGGGATGAGAAGCAGTAAGAGGTGGTCAGATAGACCTAAATGGGGGAGTGGTACCGCTCTGTAAGCATGCTTCAGGTTAGAATACACCCGGTCCAATGTATTCTTTCCTCTCGTACATCGTATATTGTACAAATTTGGGAAGCACATTTTTTAGACTTGCATGATTGAAGTCTCCAGCTACAATACAAACTCAGTCGGGATGGGACCTCTGTTGTTTATTTATTAAAGGGGACCTATCATGCAAAATGCACTTTTGTACGTCTTGTATACATGAATATGTGTCCCCGGTGTGTCAGGGAACTCACCAAGTGTCAGAAAACACAACCCTCTCTCTTTTCCTCCATACCCAAATCTCTAAAAATGGGGCTGCAACGGATCTGATACAGACTGATACAGATTTGAAAGTCCTCTGACGTCAGGAACGAGGAGCTCCGCCTATATGGGCAACTCTCCACCTATCAGGAGGAGACAGCCACGGCCATTGCCGTTCGAAAGCGCTGGAGACGCTGTAGTACATATGTCAGGCCTGTAGGTGGTGCTGTTCTCACAGAATCAGCCCTTGCAAAAACACGGCTAAAAAAGTGCAAATAGAGCGAAATGAGGCATGGCTAAAATGCATGATCTGTTTGGTATTTTGAAAAAAGAACTTCACAGACATGTTTTATATAGGTATGGCCCTACAATATATTATTCAAATATAGCATGATAGGTCCACTTTAAGCTCTGGAGGTGGTCAAGTGCAATGCTGGCGTCAGCATTGCCAGCAGCAGGTGGGATATAAACAGTGTTGATTATCACCCCTGTCAGCTCTCTAGGCAGGTGTGTTTAGTTAACCACATGTTTAAAACTGAGACATTTGGTCACTTCTGGGTGTGCTGTAAGAAGTCTTGACAATCACAAAATCATATTTAGGGGTCAACAAACTGAGTTTCTGTGTGGGCCTGGGGCTGTGGGACATCTGAGAGGAGGGGCACTAATGTGTCCTGTGATGTTCTTGTTGTGATAAGCATGTTGTTGTGTTTGTGTGAAGGTGGAGGCTCTGCTATGGATCAGTGTGAGGACAGAGAGGAGGGAGACCCCCCCTCTCTGTGTGGGGAACATGACAGCCAGACTAAAGCTCAGAGGTGAGATCTCCAACTGTCCATGACTCTTCTCCATGTCACAGCTCAGCACTCATTATTCACTCAAAGCTCTGTGTTGTGTTTCAGACCAGAGGACACACCACATTCTGCTGGACCTGGACCTGGACCTGAAGCTGGACCTGAAGCTGGACCTAGACCTGGACCTGAATATGGACCTGAAGCTGGACCTGAACCTGGACCTGAATATGGACCTGAAGCTGGACCTGAACCTGGACCTGGACCTGAAGCTGAAGCTGGACCTGAACCTGAAGCTGGACCTGAACCTGGACCTGAACCTGAACCCGAAGCTGTACCTGAACCTGAAGCTGGAGTAGTAGTTTATTTGCCTTAAAATAACCAAGCAGTATTGTTGCTGAAAAACAAAGTATTTTTTTTGCATGAACCCATGTTATTTCAGATGTAAGATCATATAATATTTTCTGTTGGTATCTTTTGGATCTCTGCAGGGAGAAAATATGGCGACACTGAAAAAGATCCTCTTCAGTACTTTAGAACATTTGGGGAAAGAGGACTTTGGAAAATTCAAGTGGCACCTGCAGCAGAAGGTCCTAGGATTCAAAGGAATCCCGGAGAGTCGACTAGAGGATGCATTGCGGACGCAAACTGTGGACCATATGTTTCTGAACTACTGCATTAAGACTATTGAAGTGACCAAATACGTTTTGAAGAAGATTCATCGGAATGATCTGGTGGAGGAATTATCAAAAATCCCATCAGAACCGACAGGTAGGTCATTAGTTATTAGGGAGTTTTACAAACAGGGAACCTGAGGTCAGGTAAATCACAATGATAACATGGATTGGATGTGTCCTCCTGATATACCACACAGAGAAACACCACCTGTACATGGTGTCAGGGATTATCTGATAGGGTCAATTAGAACTGTTGGTCTCAGTTGAGGAGTTTTTAGATTAACTACTTTGAAAAAAAGCAACCCTATTAGGCAGACCAGAGGCCTGTACTACGAAGCTGGTTCAACCTAACTTGGATATGTTTGAGTTACCCGGCTTACCTAATCCAAAACAAATGCGCTCTCGCTAAACTGTCCTAGGACGCTGGTTATCAACTCGTTAACTCAAGACAGCTTTGCCCTTTCTAGTTAGGTGCGCGTTCACATGAAAGGGGTGGTATTTGGAGCATTCGACCAATCACAAACATGGACAAGCGTACTGACAGCCAACACACTCTCACTCCATAAACGTCCAGGAGCGACGCTTGGTCAGGGTCCCGAGGCGTGCAGTTGGGACGCTCCTAGGCTCCTTCAGCTTCATAAACAGACGCACATAGCTTTCAACTGATTGCAATGTATTCCCATCGGCGGCGGGATTTGACGCTCATGGAAGCACGGCATTCGTTTGTGTCGGAGGCTGTTAAAGGCAATGTGAGCGTCCATTCCCATTGGATAACTGAGAATTGTACACCCGGAAGTAAGTATTCCCCTTACTGTCGATTGATTTGACAGTGATATCTCCACTACTCATCAACTCAAAAACACCAGATTATCCTTGTTAATTAAACGACATTGATAGGTTTTAGTGTGTGTACAATGCTTTTGTCACGTTTTCCCCTTCAATTCTGAGAAACAAGTCGTTTTCTATGAGTTTTGGATGGCCGAAGACATTACATTACCCACAATCCTCTGTAGCAACCATAGACTGTATATTGCAACAGGCAACAGCTTCGGTTCATGTTCATTTTCAAACTCTTCAACTACAACCGTAGTTATATTTAAAATAGGGCTGTCAGTCGATTAAAATAGTTAATCGCGATTAATCGCAAATTAATCGCACATTTTTTATCTGTTCTAAATGTACCTTAGAGGGATATCTTTCAAGTTTTTAATACTCTTATCAACATATGAGTGGACAACTATGCTTTATATGTTTGTTTATTATCATTTGAACAATGACAAATATTCTCATGAATATTAAACACAACAACCTCTGAACATTACAAATATTCGCTTCAAATCAACCTGGAACCTCTCTCATACAATAATTGTGTGTGTGTGTGTGTGTGTGTGTGTGTGTGTGTGTGTGTGTGTGTGTGTGTGTGTGTGTGTGTGTGTGTGTGTGTGTTGGAGCTATGTGCAGCTCAAGGCATATATGCTCCAATGGCTGCAATCATGTTGCGTGTGCTGACTTTTCGTACAATGTCCCACTGTCTGGCTACCTGCATAAAGTCAAGTGCTCGGCGCAGTTGTCGGCGAAATGTCATTGAAACAGCTCCTTATATCCGTTAGCGCAGCTAGCTAGCACCAGATGCTAACAACAACACGTAAGGTGTGCCTCGCTCGCGCGAGTCGCGCCACACATACACACTCCCTCCCGGTCCTCCCGATGGCCAGTCCGGGCCTGCCAGTGAGCGTGGAAGTGTGGTCTGCCACAAGCGGGCGGTAGGAGCGGGGCTGTCAGCATCAGCTTGTCGATGGTATTTTAAACTCGATGCGCTCTGAAACTACGGCGGCCGAGGACAAAAAATACACATGCGTTAATCGCGTTAAAATAATTAGTGGCGTTAATTTTCTTTTTGCGTTAACGCGTTATTAACGCGTTAACTTGACAGCCCTAATTTAAAAACATGTTAGAAGGCCTCACGAAATACTTTAATGTAAATTAAAATGTGAAGGAATGTGTGTATATTAACTGTGGGTTTTTCTCTGGAAGTTTTTCCTTGTACGTTAAATATTACATATCTGCCGTAGTTAACTCTATGTATAGAGCCCTGATGAGAAGACTTCTAGACAAACAGGAACTGCCGCCAAAACTGAAAACTTGACGTGGATCTTAAATATATAAGCAATTAAACAACATCTTACATTTCTTTTCACACAATACGTCTCCTTGCAGTATCAACACTAATTCGGCTGACTTTGATATTTGATCCAATTGGTAGATAGGCTGTATTTACGCCATAACGGTGCACAGCTGATAGAAAGGGACACCAACTGGTTAAAGCACGTTATTACATTTTATAATTGTACAACCCGTTTTCGTTCCCGTGGGGCCTGGGCCTTATTTATAAATTCAGCTTACAAAAGGTCGAACTCATTCGCAAATTGTCCGTGTCCGCTATTGTTGTTCAAACAAGAGCCGGCTCTTTTAAGTGAACGACGGGAGCCGGCTCGCGCCTGCGAACGAGCCGCTTTTTTTATTTTTATTTGTTTTTGTCAAGTAATACAAGACAGAATGATATGATGATCTCCGTGCTACAGGGTGTCCGTGCATGAATGCAGGGACATGTAATATCCAAGTATTAGAGACGGTTGGATGCTGCTGTTCTGCACATTGCAATACATTTATTTTCACTGTTATTTATTTATGATTATCTTTAGGCTCAGCAAAGATTTCATGTCTGCTGTTGCTGTCTTTTTTTCTTTAGTTAATACTGAGAGCACTGCTGTTTTGTCAGGGCTTTTTCTTTAAAAACAATTAAAAAATGTCGATGGTGAAATGGTGTGTTCAGTTAACAAGGAAAAAAATTGAAATAAATTCTGTCAGAAAATAGTGGATTAAGGGCTTGAAAGGGGACCCTACAATTGATGTACTGATGGGCCTGAAAAGGGGTATGTAAAATAATTTTAGAACAAAAAAAAACAGATTGGACAAGTGAAAAATGTATTCGGAGTAAATTGCCAAACTCACTTGTCCATGGACAAGTACTCTCTAAAAACGTTTTCTTACACTGAGTTAGGCTGGGGCTCCACATTTGCTAGGAGGGGTCAATAGAGTTTTCCATCCACCCTGACTTATGGACGAAGGGAAAGATTATTACTGTGACCCCCAGGGCGTCTTGTTGATAATAGGCTATTGCAGGATTACGGAGTATTCGGAATATATACTAAGAGCCATCCACTTCCTGTATAACTGGAGTGAAAGCTGAGTCCACATCCTCAGAGGTCTATCTGCCAGGGTCGTGCCTCGTCTTCCAGCAGCAGGAATAAGAGTCGTCAGGTTTAAGGTCATGGTTCTCTGGGGACAACAGATTGTTCACCGGAGTGGGAAATAATAGAAAGAAGGAACAATATTTTTGGATAGCTACAGATGATTGAGATACAGCTTCGATCCGACAACAAATATCCTACTATCCTTTCAGAAATGTGTAAAGTTAGGAACAAATATTGTGATGGATCTTTTATGTTAATTGTAGTATTGTCTCAATTGTGATTTTATTTTTGTTCATTCAGAGATTCTTACTCAGTGCCAAAGGACGCTCAAATTAAACCTGGAGAAAAGAATTGAGAAAATCATAAAAACGGGTAATTCAAGACCTCTAAATGAAATCTACACAGAGATCCACATCACCAAGGGAGAAACTACAGCTGATGAGCATGAGGTCAGACAGATTGAAACAGCATCCAGGAAACCAGACAGACCAGAAACAACCATCAGACAAGAAGAACTCTTTAAAGCCTCACCTGGAAGAGATGCACCAATCAGAGTGATGACAAAGGGAGTGGCTGGCATCGGGAAAACAGTCTTAACACAGAAGTTCACTCTGGACTGGGCTGAAGGCAAAGCCAACCAGGACATCCAGTTCATATTTCCATTACCTTTCAGAGATCTGAATAGGCTGAAGAAAAATTACAGCTTGGTGGAACTTGTTCATCACTTCTTCACTGAAACCAGAGACGCAGGAATCTGCAGGTTTGATCAGTTCACGGTTGTGTTCATCTTTGACGGTCTGGATGAGTGTCGACTTCCTCTGGACTTCCTCAACAATGAGATCCTGACTGATGTCACAGAGTCCACCTCAGTGGACGTGCTGCTGACAAACCTCATCAGGGGGGAGCTGCTTCCCTCTGCTCGCCTCTGGATAACCACACGACCTGCAGCAGCCAATCAGATCCCTCCTGAGTGTGTGGACATGGTGACAGAGGTCCGAGGGTTCACTGACCCACAGAAGGAGGAGTACTTCAGGAAGAGATTCGGAGATCAGGAGCAGGCAGACACCATCATCTCCCACATCAAGACCTCACGAAGCCTCCACATCATGTGCCACATCCCAGTCTTCTGCTGGATCTCTGCTTCAGTTCTGGAGGACATGTTGAAAACCAGAGAGGGAGGAGAGCTGCCCAAGACCCTGACTGAGATGTACATCCACTTCCTGGTGGTTCAGTCCAAAGTGAGGAACGTCAAGTATCATGGAAAAACTGAGGGACATCCACACTGGAGTCCAGAGAGCAGGAAGATGACGGAGGCTCTGGGAAAACTGGCTTTTGAGCAGCTGCAGAAAGGCAACCTGATCTTCTATGATCACGACCTGACAGAGTGTGGCATCGATATCACAGAAGCCTCAGTGTACTCAGGAGTGTTCACACAGGTCTTTAGAGAGGAGAGAGGACTGTACAAGGACACAGTGTTCTGCTTCGTCCATCTGAGCGTTCAGGAGTTTCTGGCTGCTCTTCATGTCCATCTGACCTTCATCAACTCTGGAGTCAACCTGCTGGCAGAAGAACCAACAACCTCCCAGCAGTCTGAAGTGTTCAGACCCAAACCTACACGAATAACCTCCTGGCTGCTTAAAATCCTCAAACCTAAACGTACACTAACCTCCCAGCATTCTGAAGTCAAACCTACACTAACACATCTCTACCAGAGTGCTGTGGACAAGGCGTTACAGAGTCCAAACGGACACCTGGACTTGTTCCTTCGCTTCCTCCTGGGTCTTTCACTGCAGACCAATCAGAAACTCCTACATGGCCTGCTGACAGAAACAGGAAGTAGCTCAGAGATCAATCAGAAAACAGTTGAGTACATCAAGAAGAAGATAAATGAAGACCCGTCTCCGGAGAGAAGCATCAACCTGTTCCACTGTCTGAATGAACTGAATGATAGTTCTCTAGAGGAGCAGATCCAACAGTACCTGAGATCAGGAAGTCTCTCCACAGATAATCTGTCTCCTGCTGAGTGGTCAGCTCTGGTCTTCATCTTACTGTCATCAGGAAAAGATCTGGACGTCTTTGACCTGAAGAAATACTCTGCTTCAGAGGAGGCTCTTCAGAGGCTGCTGCCAGTGGTCAAAGCCTCCAGGAAAGCTCTGTAAGTGGAGATACAAGCAACATTGATCAGTTTTAAAAATGATAAATAAAATAAATTGTGTTCATTGCTAATCCTTCCCCAGGCTGAGTGGCTGTAAGCTGTCAGAGAGAAGCTGTGAAGCTCTGTCCTCAGTCCTCAGCTCCCAGTCCTCTAGTCTGAGAGAGCTGGACCTGAGTAACAACGAGCTGCAGGATTCAGGAGTGAAGCGGCTGTCTGCTGGACTGGAGAGTCCTCACTGTGAACTGGAGACTCTCAGGTCAGGATTCTGCATTTTATTTTCAAGCAGTTTTTAATCCTTTTTATCCAGTCTGGTTCATGTTGATGAAGATGGTCGACCTCTGTATGATTTTCCTGCTGCTTTTTAAAACACTGAGTTTACTGTATTCCCTGGTTCCAGTCTCTCAGGCTGTATGGTCACAGAGGAAGGCTGTGTTTCTCTGGCTTCAGCTCTGAGCTCCAACCCCTCCCATCTGAGAGAGCTGGACCTGAGCTACAATCATCCAGGAGACTCAGGAGAGAAGCTGCTGTCTGCTGGACGTGAGGATCCACTCTGGAGACTGGAGACACTCAGGTATGGACAGACAGACTGAAGGTGTCTCTAATATCTCACATGTCATGTTCTTCCTCTCATTTATGACACAGTTATTGAAATTATATTTCATTGAGTTTTTACACCCTCATTGACGGCTGAGTCCACTCAACTCTATAACGGACGCAAGTGATCACCAGCGGTTCAGTTTGGATAGTTCTGACTGTGTTCGGCTAACGGCTAACAGAGCTAAACTCACAGCAGGACTCAGATTCTCTGTTCAGAGGTTACAGGCTTACAACACAATCTGCCAGTTATGTGTTATAATTGTATCTTGATTATTTACTGGCCTGCTTTGGCCGATGATCAGCATATTACCTAGTCGCTGATGGGAAACCGAGATTTACTTTTTGTGATTCTTTTTTACGTAAACTTATGATCGACACGTCCAGGTGCGCATCCTTTTTTCTCCTCATAATGCCATCATGAACATCACATTCATGTTGATATCAGCAGGAGGAGAGCTGGTAAACTAAGCCGTTAGCTGTTAGCCAGGGTTGCCAACTCTCACGCATCTGGCGTGTGACACACGCTTTCACTCTCAATCTCACGCTCTCACGCTGCCCAAACTATTCTCACGCCAAAAACAATAATACCGAAGACTAGAAACGGTTTTGAAAACTTTTGTCACGTAGTGATCGTCTTCTCAATAGAACATCTTTGATAATGTCTTCTGGCCAATCAGAATCACGATAACGGCGTGTGTGTTGTTGCAGGAAGTCCCGACGGAGAATACTTTTGCGGTAGTACATCTCTATACATCAATACAACATTACGTGTTGATAGAAATCAACACGTAATGAAATAAGACCCCACGGTTTGATGATTGATAGGTGTGTGGGCTGTCTTTCATTTTGACACACAGAACAATGGGGGCTATCCACCCTTATCCACAATGTACAGTAATTCACACAGCCTCTTCCCTCTTCTCTCTGTGAGGAGCAGCAGCTTCAGCTTTCAGAACAAAGTCACAAAAAACAAAAATGGCATTCATTTTTTTTAAATATGTCGTGTAGTAATAGATTTATTTATTGTTCTTCTCAAGAGAGTACCAGAATGTGTATTTTATGTTAGTATTTTAAAAAATCTCCTGGGGGAGAATCCCCCCAGACCCTCCTGCAGGGGTTGGGTCTTCAGCATGTCAACTCTTTCACCTGTGGGGAAATTGCAGGATTGGCTCCAGGTCGCCCTTTTTATTTACTACAAGACAAATGTGCCTTTTTATTTCATACAGTTCAATTTGGATTGAGACAGGGAAATAATCTAAACCTCACGCGTGGCGTTTCACTGTCGGGGGGAGCGTGTATGTAATTACATTGCAAATACTGACTTGAGCCCCACCACTGTATGGGTTAGCCCCTATATACAGTCTATGGTTAGCCCTACCATAGATTACGCAACAAAAATACTCTGGAGCCGCAACTGCCGACCCGTATTGCGCATGCGCAGATCTAAGATCCAGTAGAAATGATAAAAAAGTAAAAGTCTGCTGCTTATTGTTCTATTAGGCGATAAACGATAATATTGTCGGCACCGTTGTATGACCATTTTAGACCACTGACATAATGATAATATATAATAATAATTCAAGTACATCCTTTCAAACTGCTAGTCACATCCTCATGTAAATGGCAATTTATCAAGGTCAGAAAAGTTATGGAGTTCATTTTTATTTATCGTACAATAAGTCAATTAATTGTTTATCGCGACAGGCACACAATAAAACAGTGGAAACAAACATGTTTGACTTTCATTAGTGAATGAAACTGTGTGCCCTTTATAGTCTGTGTCCATTATTGTGTATTTGTATATATTGTATATATATATCCTATATGCTAAGGTCCCGCTGCTGACACGATAGCAGTCATTTCGTGCGCATATGTGTAATTAAACTGAATTAAACCCATGATATCAAAATCTCACTCCAGCCAGGTACCCAAAGTTGGCAACCCTGTGTTAGCTGTTAGCAGGTAGCTGTTAGCAGGTAGCTGTTAGCAGTTGGCTGTTAGCAGTTAGCCTTTAGCAGTTAGCTGTTAGCAGTTGAATGTGTACGGGATGCCTTGCTGCACATTATCCCGCTTATTACACGGCTACATGATAAACAAACTAACGACTAAGACTCCCGATATGAATTCAGGTGATTTTATTGACTTGAAAATGATGGTCATGGTTCCGGTGACGTCACCATACCGAATGGCAGCTTCTCCCCCGGTAAGAGATTAATTTCGCCTCGTTTAATTGCCAAATAAGAAATGTCTCTGTAAAATTAGAAATAGTTAACGGGGCGAAGATGGGAAGAAAGGACAGACAAAAGAAAAAAAGAGCTCGGCATTGAAAGAGCGCACCGGGCGCTCGTCCCGAGGGCCTCCGGAGACAGGGAGGACAAGCCGCGTCAAGAATTATCACGTTTCTCCGATACTCAACCAAAGACGATATTATACGCAAGCCAGGACTGCTGTACCAGACTGCTGTGGAAGCATCCTGAGACGTGAAGGACAGAGGACTGCCGTCACCGTGATCACACCGAGAGAGAGGCTGAGCAGCTGTCTGCCTGGGAGACGCTGGGAGGAGAGGAGCGAGGGAGGAATATCAGGGAGAAACTTCCTTCAGGAGACAAGTCCCATCCACCTGAAGAAATTAGGAATACATACCCATTGATATGGCACACAAAATCCATCAAGTATTTGGGCATTAACATCCCTAAAGATCTTTCAACATTATTCTAATGCAATTTCCTACCTGACACCAAGGGTTCGTCTCAAACCTTTACACCTGGCCAAAGAAGAAGGGGGATGGGGTTTACCCTCTCTCAGAGATTACTATTTCACAACACAGATAAGAACAATGATATGCTGGAGTAACCCAGAATATGATGCTCAATGGAAACATATAGAACAGAAGGTGTACTCCCATACAGGCAATTATAGCTGACAATAACCTACACAATTTCATAAAATTCAATATAAATTGGAGAATGAAAGTATCTTTCTCAAATGGTGTGCATATGACTCAGATTTCATGCCTAACAGATTGGATACTAGATTTAGGGACTGGGCTCTAAAAGGTCTAACAGCTCTGTGCAAGCTGATGAAAGGGGGAGCATTGCTCAGTTTGGATACCCTCAAAGAGAAATACACTTTGGAGAAACAGGACTTTTATGGATATCTTCAGGTACGGCATTATGTTCATTTGAAAGTGGAAAAAGTGTCAGAGGCAAGTGTAGGTTTGATAGAAATGTTTAGGAAAGCGTATAACGCAGATGTTAACGGTAGAACCGTATCATGTGTATACCAAGGATTGACAAATCTTAAAAAACACTCACTTACATAATAAAGAAGATGGAGCAGGAAGGAGGGATACATATATCTGGGGAAGAATGGGTAACAATGTGGAGATATCAATGGAAATGTACCAGCTGGCAGAACTGGAGGGAATATACCTGGAAGAACCTGAGAGGATATTTTATTCCGCCCTCTCAGAAGTCCCACTATGATAGGACCCCCCCTATATGTTGGAGGAACTGTGGTAACCAGAATGCAAACCACTTCCATGTATTCTGGGACTGTCCAGGTATCAAAGACTACTGGAAGGAGATACACAACGCCTTACAAGACATTTTCAAAGACATAATACCTCTAGAGATCAAGATGTTATACTTTAGGAATTTGAGAAAGGACAAATACTTCTTGAACATTCTGCTGAAAAGGCATTAACCAGGAAGTGGTTATCGAAGCATAGCCCGACTCTAAATGGATGGATAGACATCTCAATGGATATTTATAATATAGAAAAGATAACAGCATCTGTCAATCATACATTGGTCAATTTACTCCAACCTGTGAGAAGTGGACTCACTTTGTAAAGCCCTAAAGGCCTGACTTAGTTTCCACAGATCCAGAACTCTGCTGGAAAGAAATGTCTACTCCCTAATTGTTCACTGTTGTTCTATTTTATTTTCATTTCTTTCTTTATGTCTTTCTCCTCTGTGCTTTTTGTGTCATCATGTGTATATTGCTGAAAAGAGCTATGAACAGATGTATGTCCTTCATGTAAAGATGCAATGTACAATATGCTGTGACAATGTTTGACACTAAACGCCAACAAAAAGTTAATTAGAATAAAAAAGCTTGCTCTAAGAAAGTAACCTCTGTTCCACGAGGTACCAGCAGCTAGGACTCATGTTGGATAGAACATCATCCTGACTGTGTTTCTTCCTCCAGGCTGGACCATGGTGGAGAGCAGAGGTTAAAAACCAGGTGTGAGGAAGTGTAAGTGTGGATCATCAGCTTCTCTCTAAAGACAAAGATGATGGAGGTGGTATTTATTCATTAAAACATGACTGGCATGCATCGCCTTTAAACTCTATAATAATAATAATAATAATACATGACACTTATATATCGCTATTATAGAAAGGATCACTAACAGAGAGTAAAGCCTTCAGGTGGGTCCAGGGGCCTCATTTATAAAACCTTGCGTGCGGCACGTCCTACGCCGGTTTCCCTTTATAAATCGGGAGAGAGAGAGAGAGAGAGAGAGAGAGAGAGAGAGAGGGGAGAGAGAGGGGAGAGGGGAGAGGGAGAGGGAGAGAGAGAGATCTAGCTAATCTCTCGCTCTCTCGCTCTCGCGCTCTCTCTGCCTCGCTCTCTCTCTCTCTCTCGCTCTCATACTCTCTCTTCTCTCTCTCTATCTCTCTCTCTCTCTGCTCTCTCTTCTCTCTCTCTCGCTCTCTCTCTCTCTCTCTCTCTGCCTACTCTCTCTCTCTCTCTCTCTCCCTCTCCTCTTCTTCTCCTCTCTCCTTATTCCCCTTCATCCTTTCTCAGTGATGTGTGCTCAAAGTGATTGAGCATGTCACTTGAACATGTGCAGCTGGAGTCTTTCAGCACTCAACTGGGTCAGAACCTGCTGAACTAGCTGCAATCACCTTTAAACTTTATAATAATAATACATGACTCTTATAGAGCGCTGTTATAGAAAGATCACTAACAGAGAGGAAAGCCTTCAGGTGAGTCTGGTGATAAACTGCTGTCTGTGTCTCTCCTCAGATTCCTGTGGCTCACCCTGGACTCAACCAGCACCGGGAGAGATTCCTCAAACTGTCTGAGGACAACAGGAAGGTGACATGGGGAGAGAGAGGCAGCCATATCCTGATATCCCAGAGAGGTTTGAGTACTGGGCTAAGTGATGTGCACGAGAAGCTCTGACTTCCGGTCGCTGTTACTGGGAGGTCGAGTGGAGAGGATGAGAGGAAGGTTCAGTATAGCAGTGACTTACAGCAGAATCAGCAGGAGAGGAAGGCGAGAGGGACTGTGTGTTTGGACAGGAATGATCAGTCCTGGAGGTCTGAAGTGCCAATTGCTAGAGGTGGTTACTCTGTCAGGCCACAATGATGAATGAGAGAAACATTCTATCTCCTCCTCCTCCCTCCTCCTCTCCTCCTCCTCCTCATCATCCTCCTCATCTCCTCCTCTGGTAGAGTAGCAGTGTATCTGGATCACCCTGCTGGCTCTCTCTCCTTCTACAGAGTCTCCTCTGACACACTGACCCACCTCCACACCTTCAGAACCACATTCACTGAACCTCTCTATGCTGGGTTTAGGTTCTGGTCATATGACTCCTCAGCGTCTCTGTGTCCTCTGTAGGAGGAGATCACTTCCTGTCCTGGGTTTAAGGGTTGCTGTTTTAAATCTGGCTCACTGATTGTGTCTTTACTGTCAGAAGTGTTTTTATCAGAGAGGCTTTTATTCTGAAGGCTTTGTCCCCAGAGAGTCTTTTATTCTGAAGGCTGTGTCCCCAGAGAGTCTTTTATTCTGAAGGCTGTGTCCTCAGAGAGTCTTTTATTCTGAAGGCTGTGTCCTCAGAGAGTCTTTTATTCTGAAGGCTGTGTCCCCAGAGAGTCTTTCATTGGGTGATGAATCTCTCCTCATCAGTTCAGTTATAAGTTGGACAGATGAATCAAAAGGTCAATGATTGTTGATTCTTGAAAATGCTTTAAGAAACTCAACAGCCTTCATCTCAGCTCTCCAGAGGGTTTACTTTATTGAGTTAGCAGCTCATTCCTTCAAACAGAAACTTCAGAGTGATTATAATGAGAGCAGATAGAAAGAAAGGTGGGCACACATGAATACCGTGATATATATTTGTACATATATATTGAAGTAGTACAATATATGACAAGTTTAATCTGTGGGCCATATCTCATTATACTGTCTGAATTAGCTGAGGGCCCAAAGTGTTGTTTAATGTTTAATAAAATGGCGGCTATGTCAATTCTTATTCTTGTCTTTATCAGGGATAGTTTTGAAGTAACCAATATGGACCTGTATTGAAGCTCATGGTTTGTGTGCTGTGGATAAATAATGAAATGTAACCATGACATGTAATATGAACTAAGAAGCTATTGGTGTTATAATGTCTGTCTTTTAACAAAGAGAAAACATATAGAAATTCTAAACATAGCACTCCACTCAATTATTGGACAGTCACGTACTTGATAGAACCACAGCTTTATTTGAAAGTACTTCAACTTAATAACATGTAAAACAACCCTTCAAAGTAAGTAAGGTGCAGTATAACAAAATAACACTCTAAATGAGTTTTAACATCAAAGAAACATTATCATAAACTTCATCAAATATATACATATCATATATATAAATAAATATCAAACTATACACGGAACTACATCCATGAATAAGTGTCCAGTGTCCATGCCTCTGGTGGGGGGGAGATACATGTTGTTATGTCCTCCAACCACTGCTCCTTTGGCACAATGTAGTTCACTACTCCCTGTACTGGCTGGGTCCAGTGTCCATGCCTCTGGTGGGGGGGATATACATGTTGCACCCCTTCTCAGAGTCTGCTCTCCATCCCCCGCTCTCGCCTTCGTACTGTGGGTGACAGGGCGTTCAGTGTTGCGGCCCCCACCCTCTGGAATGCACTTCCTCCTGAGATCCGGAACGCTGCCTCACTGGACATCTTCAAATCCTCACTAAAAACGCACCTGTTCACCCTGGCCTTCGGACCCTAGTCCTTTCCTGGTCCCCCGGCCTCCTTTATTTTATTTTATTTTGTTCTTGTTTTGTTCGCTCCTCATTGTCTGTTTTGTTTTGTCTGTCCACCATGTACAGCGTCCCGTGAAAGGCGCTTTATAAATTCCATTTATTATTATTATTATTATTATTATTATCATGTCTCAGATAAATACAGGGAAGTCAATGGTATTATCTTCCCTTCCCAAAGCAGACGTATGAAGCAGCAGATACATGGAGGCGTGTGGCGCAGTTGGTTGTGCGTAGGTGTTCTGATCAGGGGGTCACAGGTTCAAACCCCACTGCAGTCAGCATGTCGTTGTGTCCCTGAGACACTTCACCCCAAATTGCTCCTGTGGGGATTGTCCACAGTGTTGAGTATGTAAGTCGCTTTGGATAAAAGCGTCTGATAAGTAACATGGACAAATTCTACAGAAGATCACTAACCAGAAAAGGCTTTTTAAATTGAATACTTGAGTAAATGTATACCTGCATTTACTTGGTCACTTACAACATTGCATCTGCATTATTTAGCTTATTGTATATGTATTTGTAGGCCTACATGTATATAGTTTACTTCATCTGCATTACTTGTACACTAGTCTGAACTATTTTACTCTGTTTCTTCATGCACTATTTTAATGTATTGTTTTATGTCCTATATATATATTCATATTGCATTGTTGGAGGAGCTTCAGATGTGCATTGCATATCAACACTGCAGCTGCTGTGCATACTGTATGATGATAAAGCCCTTAAATCTACTTGGTAACTTCCACCTCTTCCACCTTAACATCATTCACCTTCAAACCGTCTCCATGTTCCACCTTTAATCAGCTTCACCTGCAGCTGTCAGTACACTCAGTGCTAACGGCTAGCATCAGCGGCTAACAGGCATTTTTAACTTTTAAAGAACAATGTGGAACACAACACAACATGTCAGTGACAGCGGGTCAGAGGAGCCTTCAGGGGAGAAGCTTAAAGTCTCTTTTCTGGTGTTTAAAATCATGCATTTACGTGAGAAACTAAGGCTAAAGCTACACATGCTAACACACACCTACCAGAAACGTGCAGGTCCTCCTGTAGTTGTGCTACGTCACGCGTCGCATCCGGGTCCTAAAGCCCGCCGGGTTCTGTTTCGAGTTAATTTTAAAGAGTTAAATATCTTATTTTAAAACGTTTTACCTTCACAATTAATTGTATGTTCTATTATATTAATTACAAATATTCAAAGACACACAGCGCAGTGAACAAAATAAAACATTACAAATAAATAGAGCTAAATAAAATAAAAAAGGACAAATATTAAATACCTGATCTGTTTCTACTCTATCCCACAGATTATAAAACATATAATCAGACTATATAAATAGGTTGAGGTACACTTTGATTCTCTACAGGTGAAAAAGGACATTACTCACATTACGTTTTCTGAAATAGTCTAAATATGGCATTGTGTAATGATAACTTTTGATGAATTGGGGTCAAATCAAAACACAGTTAAATAATCTCCTAAATGTGGATATTTGATTGATGTCTACCTGTTGGAAACAAGACATGTAATGAAGGCATAATAAACCAGAACATTAGAAATGAAACTAAGCTCTTTCCTCTCCTGTAGGTCAATAGGTTTTAGTGCATGTCAAAGGTCTGCAAAGGGTACAAATCCCTGTGTTCCCTCCAGAGTGAGATTCTGTGATAAAGTGTGAACAGAGTAGTAATGTCAGAAATAAGGACATAAAGATGAAACATTATTCATGCCAATGTGTCACTGTGTCCCTGCTGCTGGTGAGGAAGGGTCTCTTTGTAGAGGTCCTCACATCCTTTTTTGTAGTAAGGAGGTATCAGCTAAATGTACTTTAAGTAGCACAAGTACAAGTACTGCAATTGACACTTTATTGTTTCTTAAAAAACAATCCATCTGCAAACAGTAGCAGCTATCTCTTTCGTTATATATAGTCACTTTGTAACACCATGGTGTACTTCTCTTTGACTTATCGTGCTTCTTCACGTCTGCATACATAGTTCTTTTTGACTTTGTTACCATGTCAGTCTGTTTACTTCATCTGCACTACTCTGCTGTGTTCTCATGTAAATGTCCCCGTTGCAGCACAGATAAAGGGATTCTGATTCTAGTTTAAATCACTAGTCTGAACCTTAACTTAACTTAGTCTTAACTTAGTCTTAACTTAGTCTTAACCTTAACTTAACTTAGTCTTAACTTAGTCTTAACTTAGTCTTAACCTTAACTTAACTTAGTCTTAACTTAGTCTTAACAGTAACTTAACTTAGTCTTAACCTTAACTGAACTTAGTCTTAACAGTAACTTAACTTAGTCTTAATAGTAACTTAACTTAGTCTTAACCTTAACTTAAATTAGTCTTAATAGTAACTTAACTTAGTCTGAACTTAGTCTTAACAGTAACTTAACTTAGTCTTAACAGTAACTTAACTTAGTCTTAACTTAGTCTTAACCTTAACTTAACTTAGTCTTAACCTTAACTGAACTTAGTCTTAACCTTAACTGAACTTAGTCTTAACCTTAACTGAACTTGGTCTTAACCTTAACTTAACTTAGTCTTAACCTTAACTGAACTTGGTCTTAACCTTAACTTAACTTAGTCTTAACTTATTCTTAACAGTAACTTAACTTAGTCTTAACTTAACTTAGTCTTAACAGTAACTTAACTTAGTCTTAACTTAGTCTTAACCTTAACTTAACTTAGTCTTAACCTTAACTGAACTTAGTCTTAACCTTAACTGAACTTGGTCTTAACCTTAACTTAACTTAGTCTTAACTTATTCTTAACAGTAACTTAACTTAGTCTTAACAGTAACTTAACTTAGTCTTAACAGTAACTTAACTTAGTCTTAACCTTAACTGAACTTGGTCTTAACCTTAACTTAGCTTAGTCTTAACCTTAACTTAACTTAGTCTTAACAGTAACTTAACTTAGTCTTAACCTTAACTTAACTTGGTCTTAACTTAGTCTTAACAGTAACTTAACTTAGTCTTAACCTTAACTTAACTTAGTCTTAACCTTAACTTAACTTGGTCTTAACTTAGTCTTAACAGTAACTTAACTTAGTCTTAACCTTAACTTAACTTAGTCTTAACCTTAACTTAACTTAGTCTTAACAGTAACTTAACTTAGTCTTAACCTTAACTTAACTTGGTCTTAACTTAGTCTTAACAGTAACTTAACTTAGTCTTAACAGTAACTGAACTTGGTCTTAACCTTAACTGAACTTGGTCTTAACAGTTACTAAACTTAACCTTAACTTAGGGATTCTGATTTTGATTCTGATATGTAGAATGTCTCTTTATTACAGTATTATACAATTATAGAATAATATATTATCTTATTTCTATCACTAAGAGGTCAAAAGGAGCATTTTAACGATGTGGTTTGTCAATGAGGAGAGCATGTTATATCAGTGCTGCATCATATCATATATCATGTGTTTTAATATGTAAACACGTATAAAAAGCATCATATTTGCCTCTGAATTTGCTCCGTATTGTTCTTTCTGTGTCTCTGTATGCACCACATTTACAAAAGCCAATTCCTCTTATGTGTGAACCTCCAGGTAATAAAGCCAGTTCTGATTCTGAAGAGCAGAAGAACTTCATCCTTTGAACCTAACATGAGTTTCCTTCAATGACCATGTTTATTTGATTAGAAAGAAAACACACTGTCTCTGATTTTGTGAAATAATTCAACTGCAAAAAAAGTCAAATCAAATGCAACCAGGAAGGAGAAGCTGAGGTGTTGGCGCCCCCTGGTGGTCAATCACCGGAACTGGACATATAAAGTTAGACATGAAAAATACTTTAAAAAGTGAAATAGAGAAAATAACAATTACAAACAAAATGAAAAATATTATATCAAATACAAGCAATACAAAATATTATGTAGAAACATTTCCGAATAAATTACATATAGAGAGCGAGAGAGACAGGTAATAACAGATATATATATCGTTTAATATCATTTAATATAATATCTTCAGGGTAAACAATGTGTGTCTACCCACAGGAACTCCAACCTGCAGGTAGAGACACACAACATCGTTTAATATAATCTAATATAAAATTAAACTGGTGAACAGCGAGGTGTTTTGTAGAGTATGTCACTAAAAAGAGAGGTGCTGGATACTGAACTCTGAGGTGCTCCCAATGGCCAACGGTGTGTGTGTGTGTGTGTGTGTGTGTGTGTGTGTGTGTGTGTGTGTGTGTGTGTGTGTGTGTGTGTGTGTGTGTGTGTGTGTGTGTGTGTGTGTGTGTGTGTGTGTGTGTGTGTGTAGATTTGCGTTTCTACGACCAGGTGAAGCTGGTGAACTTCCTCCGCCGTCAGCTCCATCAGAGCCGCTGCTACGGCTGCCAGGAAACGTTCAGCTGCAGACAGGAAGTCCTCCGACACCTGAAGGAGGCGGGACATGTGATGCAGCTTCCTCACAAGTCCACCTGGAACCAGCCTCAGTGAGTAGTGTCTCTACTTTAAAGAGTCCTCTCCTGCTGATGTTCAGGTGTATATCAGTATGTAGTGTCTCTACTTTAAAGAGTCCTCTCCTGCTGATGTTCAGGTGTATATCAGTATGTAGTGACTCTACTTTAAAGAGTCCTCTCCTGCTGATGTTCAGGTGTATATCAGTATGTAGTGTCTCTACTTTAAAGAGTCCTCTCCTGCTGATGTTCAGGTGTATATCAGTATGTAGTGTCTCTACTTTAAAGAGTCCTCTCCTGCTGATGTTCAGGTGTATATCAGTATGTAGTGTCTCTACTTTAAAGAGTCCTCTCCTGCTGATGTTCAGGTGTATATCAGTATGTAGCGTCTCCACTTTAAAGAGTCCTCTCTCCTCAGGTATTACTTCCCCACGTATGAGAACGACGCCCTCCTCTGCACGCTGTCTGACGGCGATGAAGACGAGCGTAACGTCAGCGAAGATGTCCCGGTGATCTCAGAGGACGTTTCCAACCTTCGAGCTTTGAAACAGAACTCCGTCCTCAAATCGATGCTGAAGAGCCGAGGGTCCTGCAGGTAGAAGACTTCCTGTTCCTGGACGACTCTTCCTCCTCCTCATCCTCTGTAAAGAAACTCTAATAATCAAAGCCATGCTGCTTCCCTGAACACTTCAAAACTCTATTTTCAGAAGTGAAGTTCAACCTTTTTCCAGCAGGGGGCGTCACACTCAAATCCCACAAGAGCTTGCAAAGAATATACAATAGTTGAATATTTGCTTTGAATGATTTGCCCCAGCCTTCTGCTTTCAGACGTAGTTCATTATGAAGTTACCAGAACTGATAATAATCCAATGCAGAGCCAATAATATAAGACATTATTTAATATATATATTTATGTATTTTTATATATTCTTAAAGTTACAACCGGCCCTTTGAGTGCAATCTTAATGCTGATGTGGCCCACCATGAAATTGAGTTGAACCCCCTGCTCTACAGGATGCACACGTCTGTCCACGCCACAGAGGAACATTCAGACTCTGCTTCTTTTGATTATAAAGTTTATAACTTCATGTGAAAATGCTTTGAGATCAGAATGCAATAAAGTAGGTCGCTCTCTCTCAGAAGTGCAAACTCATCTGGAGTCGATTTAGACCCTGGAAATGAGTCAGGGTCGAAACTTAACGTACCTGTTTACATCAAAACAAGGGAAATGATTGATAACATATCAGATGTTGATCAGTAATAACACGGTTATGAATAGAAAGGATCCGTCTCGCGTAAAACTCTCCCAAGAGTTTGTAAGTCACGTTTGGCAGCCTTTCAGTTACGATCGTTAACATCAGTGGGCCACAGCAAATGATGGTGACTCGCTAAACTATCTATTCATTATGTCAATTACAGGGAGTGTGATTGTTCAAATAGGATGTTAGCGATCTTGCTGTTGAAAGGAGAATGACAACACTGCAGATCACCAACACTATGGTTTATTTTGTATTCACAGGCAACGTTGTCGCAGTAAAAGTAAAAAAGATAGCCGATGACAAAGTCCTCCTGGTGCAGTAAACGGTTCCCTGTTTTACTATTATATCTGATATGTCTCTCTTCATATTGCTGCTGCATTAATGTGTATGCTGCATGTTACTGCTGGAGATGTGTTGACCTCCTTTATATCCCGTTGGGTAGTTCAATCTGCAGCAATGCATCATATTCTATAAGATCATCATGTGTAGCTTTGTCTCTGTCCTGTGAGAACCACGTATCTCTCTAAAGTAAACCTTTCAAGAGTTCCTCAGAAAAACAGCTGTTGTGACGATGCATTTTCCAGCTGATCCAAGAGGCTTTTTAAACACTTCACTTGGCTTAAGAAGGAGAGGCATTTTCTCAACACATAAAGGAACACTTTATCCTTCTTCCCGAGCGCTTCCCGAGCCGCTCCGATTCCAACGAGAATTACAACCAGAACGTGACGTCATATTTACACAAGACGGATCCTTTCTAGCCATAACCTAATAACACGCTGGAAGAATGCATGAACAATCCTACATTGACACGTGTGTATGTACTAAAGTATGATGAGCAAAATGTCCTTAAAGTATTTAATGTGAAAGTACCAAATGCAGAGAAATCAACAAGAAAAACACCCGCAGACTCAAAACAATCCCTAGTTTATTAATTAAAGTGAAAATAGTACATCTGTGCAAACTCATGACCCAATTAAGACCCTTCAAATTGACATTGTCAAACTTAACGTGCGGTTAATGAAAAATCTCGTCTCTATTTAGAACTGTTTTGTAGATTCACTGCATGATTGTAAGTCTCTGGACCCTCATAGGGACTCTTTAAAGTAACTCTTTAAAGTAACCACACCCTGAGCGGAACCACAGGAACAAACCGCATCTCTCTCTGCTAAATATGAAATCAAAGTTGTTTATCTACTTCACGGTGTTGTTGGTTTTTGATCTCTCTCTCTCTGTCTCTCTTAAATAAAGAGAGAGTCCTCTTTAAAGTGGAGACACTACATACTGATATACACCTGAACATCAGCAGGAGAGGACTCTTTAAAGTGGAGACACTACATACTGATATACACCTGAACATCAGCAGGATAGGACTCTTTAAAGTAGAGACACTACATACTGATATACACCTGAACATCAGCAGGAGAGGACTCTTTAAAGTAGAGACACTCCATACTGATATACACCTGAACATCAGCAGGAGAGGACTCTTTAAAGTAGAGACACTACATACTGATATACACCTGAACATCAGCAGGAGAGGACTCTTTAAAGTAGAGACACTACATACTGATATACACCTGAACATCAGCAGGAGAGGACTCTTTAAAGTAGAGACACTACATACTGATATACACCTGAACATCAGCAGGAGAGGACTCTTTAAAGTAGAGACACTACATACTGATATACACCTGAACATCAGCAGGAGAGAACTCTTTAAAGTAGAGACACTACATACTGATATACACCTGAACATCAGCAGGAGAGGACTCTTTAAAGTAGAGACACTACATACTGATATACACCTGAACATCAGCAGGAGAGGACTCTTTAAAGTAGAGACACTACATACTGATATACACCTGAACACCAGCAGGAGAGGACTCTTTAAAGTAGAGACACTACATACTGATATACACCTGAACATCAGCAGGAGAGGACTCTTTAAAGTAGAGACACTACATACTGATATACACCTGAACATCAGCAGGAGAGGACTCTTTAAAGTAGAGACACTACATTGATATACACCTGAACATCAGCAGGAGAGGACTCTTTAAAGTAGAGACACTACATACTGATATACACCTGAACATCAGCAGGAGAGGACTCTTTAAAGTAGAGACACTACATACTGATATACACCTGAACATCAGCAGGAGAGGACTCTTTAAAGTAGAGACACTACATACTGATATACACCTGAACATCAGCAGGAGAGGACTCTTTAAAGTAGAGACACGACATACTGATATACACCTGAACATCAGCAGGAGAGGACTCTTTAAAGTAGAGACACTACATACTGATATACACCTGAACATCAGCAGGAGAGGACTCTTTAAAGTGGAGACACTACATACTGATATACACCTGAACATCAGCAGGAGAGGACTCTTTAAAGTAGAGACACTACATACTGATATACACCTGAACATCAGCAGGAGAGGACTCTTTAAAGTAGAGACACTACATACTGATATACACCTGAACATCAGCAGGGGAGGACTCTTTAAAGTAGAGACACTACATACTGATATACACCTGAACATCAGCAGGAGAGGACTCTTTAAAGTAGAGACACTACATACTGATATACACCTGAACATCAGCAGGAGAGGACTCTTTAAAGTAGAGACACTACATACTGATATACACCTGAACATCAGCAGGAGAGAACTCTTTAAAGTAGAGACACTACATACTGATATACACCTGAACATCAGCAGGAGAGAACTCTTTAAAGTAGAGACACTACATACTGATATACACCTGAACATCAGCAGGAGAGAACTCTTTAAAGTAGAGACACTACATACTGATATACACCTGAACATCAGCAGGAGAGGACTCTTTAAAGTAGAGACACTACATACTGATATACACCTGAACATCAGCAGGAGAGAACTCTTTAAAGTAGAGACACTACATACTGATATACACCTGAACATCAGCAGGAGAGAACTCTTTAAAGTAGAGACACTACATACTGATATACACCTGAACATCAGCAGGAGAGGACTCTTTAAAGCAGAGACACTACATACTGATATACACCTGAACATCAGCAGGAGAGTCCTCTAACCCTGTCTGCGTCTCCTTACGGCCGCGTTACGGCTGTGGTGGAATGGAGGACCCGGTGGAATCGAGGGGTAACACTGACCTGACCTGTGTTTCATTCGAGGGTCAGTTAGCAGCATCTAGTGGACAGCTAGCAGAACTATCTATGTTTCTATGTTTCATGTTTTCTGTAGATGTTTAATTGCTCTTTTTACTGCACTTTTAGTGTACAGTTGTGCTGCTGTGTTTATTGTATTTTTGTTACTCTGGCACAACAATTCCCTTCGGGATGACTAAAGTCTTATCTCATCTTAACTACACCCCCTCTCACACTGACTGGGCTCAGTCACTCTGAAGTGAATCTTTGCAGTCCTGAGAACAACTCAGTTTAGAAACAGAGTATTTATCAGCAAAGGCATGTGGGTGAATAAAACAGATATAATGACAGTCAGTGCTGAAGACATCGACCTCACTCTCATATCATACGTTTCTCTTTGTGTACAAGTTCCTCCTGAGTGGGAAACTACTGCAGCACTTCAACCCCCCCCCCCCCCCCCCCCCACCCCCATTTCCTCTGAGACTCAGAGCGGAAGTACCGAGTTCCTCTTTCACGGAAGTCACATGTGACAGTTGGTGTTCAAACTGTTGAATAAAAGGAGATATAAGGGAATAGCAGGCAGAACCAGGACTGAGGAGGACGAGATCAGCCGTGTTTCTGTGGACCTGAAGAGAGCTCAGCAGGTGAGGACCCTCCCACAGGAGTCTGTTACTACAATGAAAGACATTAAGAGCATTAAGAAATAGTGCAGTGGAAACACATTATAAAATAGCATTTAAAAACAGTCATTAAAAAGCAAAGAGAATTAAATAAACATAAAACAAGCTAATATAGAACAACATTAAACATTTGAGCATCGATGGAACTACTATAATGATAACTAAGAATAACAATACTTGGTATTAAGTTGATAATAATATATTCATGTTGGTGGGCTGTACAGCACATTAGCAGGAAAAGCAATTCAGAGAATATATTACATTTGAAGGTTTATACAAAATCAGCCTCAACAAATATGTTCCTATACATCCAAACTGCATTCTCAATTTAAATGTTTGTGGATGTTTGATTCTGACTTCCAGTGCTGGCTGGGTCCGAGCACAGTTGGCTCTGTCTGCTGTTCTTGCATTATTATTTCCCTGCAAGTAAAGCCAGTTTTTGAGGCACTGATCATGCTCAGAGAGTTGTACAACATTGCACAGACGTCAGGAATGGTAAAAGT